CCAATCGACACCTGTCACCCGCCCCCCTTCTCATTTTAACGGCCAGAGCTCACCTCTCTGCCCGCCGCCTTCTAACCCGCCACTTGCCGTCGGCAACCTGCCCCTCCCTCGCCGGCATTATGAAAGGCCGCCTCCATTGGCCACCCACCTTCCCTTCCACCTACCCCGCTGCACGCACCCGCCCTGTCCAAACCGCCACCTGGCAGCGCTTCCTCCTCAGTCGCCACTAGGCAGCTGTCCCGCTATGCCCCCTCACTACTGACCCCAGCGCCCCGTTGCCCACCCGCCGTCTCGACTGCCCCGGGACCTCCCGCCTCGCCGCTCCCTGGGCCTCCATTGGCCACCCACCTTCCCTTCCACCTACCCCGCTGCACGCACCCGCCCTGTCCAAACCGCCACCTGGCAGCGCTTCCTCCTCAGTCGCCACTAGGCAGCTGTCCCGCTATGCCCCCTCACTACTGACCCCAGCGCCCCGTTGCCCACCCGCCGTCTCGACTGCCCCGGGACCTCCCGCCTCGCCGCTCCCTGGGGGTGGTCCGATGCAGAAACACAAAGCAGGAACTTTATTAACCACACAGCGGCATGGTTAACGGGCAGCTCCCCACGGCGGGCAGCTTCTCTTCCCGCGCTCTCTCTGGACTGGGGGAGCGGGGAGAGCCCCCTCGGGGACCAAGGCCAGTGGCCCTAGGGGCTGTGCCCTTCTCCCCTGCAAAAGGCAGCCATTGACTCAAAGCCTTTACAGCCTCCCTGGCAGATGACAAAAGCCAGCAGGTGCATAGAATAGGCACAGGTGGGACTAGGAGGCGAGAAAGCCAGAGAACAGTGAAGCAGCCTGGGCAGAAGCCGCAGCAGCAGTCACCGCGCACCCACTGCCTCGCCAGTGTTTTCAGAGGTGAGTTTTAAGGAGGGCTGTGGAGGCGAATCGTGTTATGTTACCTTTTAAAGTGCATGATGTTAGGTCAATATCATGACTAAGAGCCGGGTGAATTGTTGTGAATAACGCACCTGTGCTAACAACCATCCCAAGGTTGGGCGGGGGAAGCTTCGTTTCTTTGTAATGTTGATGGCTGAAAACCCAAGTTTTAAGCCTGTCCAAGGACATGCTTGTTGTTGAGCGCTGATTCTTTAATGATTTCTGCTTCTACCATCCCACATATCCTTCCATTGTTAATATCAGTTTTTTATTGAACATGCTGGAGAAAGCATAAGCACAGAACACACTCTTTGGAAAGGTTACTGCTCTTCTCAGACCTGTTATTGTGTGCATTATATAAGATGTGGGGGTGGTGTACACTTCTGGATGGTTCATCAGTGCTGCTGCTGGAAGCATTTTCCCCACTGTAGCTAGTGCAGCTCTTATAAACACCCACTTGTTCTGGCTCCTGTCCTTGTATGCCTTGCTCATTAAATTAGTGTGCTTAGGATAGCAGATGTTCAAGAGTCTTTTCAAACGAAAAAAAAAATCCAACTATCTCAATCGTTTGGAAAAGCAAACTTTCAGGTATACTGTTGGCTTTATGTTAGGAGTTCATATTACATATTTTTGTTACAGTTTCGCTACATTTTAATATAAATATAATAATTTATAGTATGTTGTTTGTTACATTTAAAATCAAGAAAGGGTGACATCAGAGAAGGAAATACAGTATAGCAGCACTGATCAAGTACTTGTTAAGTTACTATAAGTATACATATTATTTTAAAGGTGAGGTCAAAGTTTATTATGAGTCCATGTTGCATTTCACTTGTTTGTTTTTTGGATGATAAATAGCACCCCTACCATTTTAAACTCCTTTTAATACTAACCACCCAATACCAAAAGCTACTTCAAAGAAACATTCTTCTTTTGTATAGTTAGAGAATTTATAAACAACTATTAAAATTAGACAAAAATATTTTGCATCCTTTCCACATATTCATCATGCTTTAGAAATCAGCATATAAACACATAAATACAAATTATTTGGAAAAAAAAACCATTCTTAATGTTGCTCCTTATTTTGTTTGTTATGGGTGAATAAAAAGATCTGAAATTTCATTGCAAAACTGTTAATTGCTTTTTTGCTTAGAACAAACTTATGTATAAATACATTTTTACTGTAATAGAACATTTGATAATGGTCATGAATTAATAAACTGTTAACAATAAGCAGCTATTTTCAAGAATCAGTTTTTACACAGAATTAACTTTGCTTAAAAAATAAAGTGAAAAGATGTATGAAGAACTATAGATAGCATTTGAGAAGGCTAAAGAGAAAAGAGCAGTAACAATACAGAAAAACATGTCTTGAACACAAAGAACCAAAACAGAATAAAAGGTAATAGAGTCCTGATGATAAGCTACTACTGTTTGGAGTACAAAATCATTAGAACGTTTATGTAGAATTATATGGGTACTCTCTGTTTATAAACATCAAGTTTTTCATTTGCCATGTAATTTATGTAAATTATACTATGTCTTTGATTACACAATTTCTGTAATGTTGAGTGTATCAAGTGAAACTTTTGGGCCTGATTCTCTTTTCATTTACACTGGTATTTTTTATTTACTTCAATGGAGTGACATAGGGCATGAACTTCACCCCATGGCTACGTCTCCATTGGCATGATCTTGTGCAAATACTCTTTAATGCAGGAGTTCTTGCATTAAAGTATTTGCGCAAGAGAGCGTCTATACTGGCATGTGCTTTTGCGCAAGAGCATCCGTGCCAGTGTAAATGCTCTCTTGCGCAAGAAAGCTCTGATGGCCATTTTAACCATTGGGCTTTCTTGCGCAAGAAATTAATGTTGCCTGTCTACACTGGCTTCTTGTGCAAGAACAGTTGCGCAAGAGGGCTTATTCCTGAGCGGGAGCATCATAGTTCTTGTGCAAGAAGCACTGATTTCACACATTAGAATGTCAGTGTTCTTGTGCAAGAACTCCCCGCCAGTGTAGACAGGCAGCATGTTTTTGCACAAGCGGCTGCCTTGGCGCAAGATCGCGCCAATGTAGACACAGCCCATGTGTTTTTTAAATATATGTAACATTTTTAGTTTATGCTTTCAGGACTAATATTTTCTCTATGGTGTTTGGTGCATGTTTTTAGTAGCTTAAATAAAAAATAACCCAACCCCAAAATACTTAAAAAACTAGTATCCTCTGAATACACTTCCTAGACTTAAAGAAGAGCTCTATTTTAAGCTTGAAAGCTTGTCTCTTTCACCAGTGAAAGTTGGTCTGATAAAAGATACTGGTTCACCCACCTTGTCTCTCTACCCTATTGAAGACAGTGGGATTACTTGTATGAGTAATAGCCACAAGTGCAGGCACATAGGTCTTTCAAACAATATTATAGAGTATGTCACACCAACAAAAATGAAAAAAAATCTTGTTCCCTTGACATATCTGTTGGGAGAATTTACCTCTACATTTCCTTTACTATAAGCAAAATGATAGGGCTTCAAGAGCCTAAGCTAAGTCACTGGAGCTACATGGCTTTACACTAGTTAAGTATCTGACTTGTAGCATTTTTTAATTCTTGTCAGAGTTTTGCTTCTTGTTGAGTAGACCATGTGGGAAGTAGGGGGGGTGAAAAGTGCTGCAGCACTGCCAGGTTTTATACCAAGCTTCTTTGTGCCCAGGGACCAGCTCTGCTACCAACCCAGCAGCCCTGGGGATTTCCACCTCCAAGCAGCTCTTCTGGGGTCCTGCCAGCTTCAGCACTCTCTAGGATCCTGCCGCCCACCATCACTGCCAGCTCTGCAGCCTGTTGTCCCTGGGGTGAAGGCCACCAGCTCTCAGTCTCTGTTGCTGATCAGGGTCCAGCTGCCAGCCTTTGGCTTCACAGCTGCCTCTAGCTGTGGCTAGGTAGCCAACTCTTGTGGATCAGATGGCATTTGTGGCAATGGCAACCTTAGGAATGACCTCAGCCTAGTGAAGTCAGGGGTGTGAACAAGTGTTTAAGGGGGCACAGCTGAGAACCCTAACCATAAAAATAGTTTCAGTGCCCCTGTGCCCCAGTATTAATATCTAGAGGGTTTTTTTCTCTTGAGGTTTGTGCAGTGGCACCAAAAATAAAGATTGTGAAAGAATATGTGTCCAGACAGTTTGACATTATAGCCCTAGGCATAATCAGGACCAATCAGCATAAACAGACTGTACCAAAGACCTCCTTTTAGCCCATGTTATATAAAATACCTGTTTCCTATATAATACATTTTGATCAAGGATTCTGTTGGGTTTTTTTTGGTAATACAAAACAGGTATATATCAAGTCAAGACATCAGCAGTTCTTTTCTGTATTTAAAGGCTCATATTTAAAATCTATACACAGAAACATGCTCAAGATTTTCCTGTAAAGCTATTTTTTCAGCCCCTTAGCATCTTGCCAAATGCCAGAATGAACAAAGAAAGAATATGGATTTATTTTATAAGAAAAATAAAATAGTGGAAGAAATTATTGTGCAGAAATAGCACACAAAGACTTTTTAAGGAAAGCTGAAAAATGTATAGTAGAGAAGTAAATAATCAGTTGTGCAAGAGAAA